AGCAGCGCTCCTCCTGTGGGAGTGCACTGACCACCAGGTGGCAGCTCCTGTGTTGAGCCTCTGCCCTCTGGCTGTCAGTGCGCGTCATAGCGACCAGTCGTTCGTTTCTAACTCTCTATCCCTCTTTCTTCCTCTCTGTAAAAAAATCAATAAAATATATTTTAAAAAAAACCTGTCAATGAAATAATGGTTGCAATGATAAGTACTTCTCGTATGCTGTAAATTTATCTTGCTGTCATTTATAACTGACTAGAGGCCCAGTGCACGAATTGGTACACCAGCGGGGTCCCTCTACCTGGCCTGCAGCATCAGGCCGAAACCAGCTCTCTGACATTCCCCCAAGGGGTCCCGGATTGCGAGAGGGTGCAGGCCAGGCCGAGGGACCCCACCAGTGCATGAGCGGAGCTGGGGAGAGACGTGACAGGTTGGCCAGCTGGGGAAGGGCCATGGGAGGACTTCAGGGCATGTCCACCCCTTCTCACTCAGTCTTGATCAGCCGGACCCCAGCAGCAAGCTAACCTACCAGTCGGGGCATCTGCCCCCTGGTGATCAGTGCACATCAAAGAGACTGGTCGCCCGGTTGACTGTCTGCTTCCTGGTGGTCAGTGCACATCATAGCGAGTGGTTGAGCGGCCTTAGCATATCATTAGCACATTACACTTTGATTGGTTGAATGGCCGACCGGTCGACCGGACACTTAGCATATTAGGCTTTTATTATATAGGATTGGAATATTGGCATTGAAAGAGCTTGACTTGGAGGCAGAAAGCGTGTTTTGTTTGGGATATAGTCATGGTTTTGTTTTTTTTTTTAAAAAAATATATATATTATTAATTTTTTTACAGAGAGGAAGGGAGAAGGATAGGAGTTAGAAACATCAATGAGAGAGAAACATTGATCAGCTGCATTCTGCACATCCCCTACTAGGGATGTGCCTGCAACCAAGGTACATGCCCTTGACCAGAATTGAACCTGAGATCCTTTAATCCGCAGGCCAAAGCTCTATCCACTGAGCGAAACTGGTTAGGGCATCATGGCTTTTCTTTACTTGGAATGCTAACCTTTGTTCGCTAGGCCTAAGATTTTTGGGTGAATGACCAAGGTAGTATTGTTCCTTCAAACTTTATTAATTTTTTATTCTTGAGGTTTTAAAGAAGTGCTGCCACTGTTTAGTTATAAGAAGAAATTGATTGAATTTTAATTTTTAAGGTACTTTGCAATACTGTATTATGAAATTTAGAAATTTTTAATTATGAAATAATTTTATATTTCAGAAAAGCTGCAAAAATCATAGTGTTTCCATATATCCTTCATCTATGCCTTCATACCACAGAATCATAATACAATTATTGAAGTAGGAAACTAGTCTACAGCCCTCATTTGGACTGTGCCTCTTTTCCACTAATGTCCTCTTGTTTTTAGTCCTAGATCCACTCAGGGACCACACGTTGCATGCGGTTTATATTTCTCCTCAGTCTCCTCCAGTTCACACAAGTTCATGAGTCTGTTTTTGTTTTTTTTTGTTTTTTTTACTTTCATAACCTTGATAGTTTTAAAGGATATAAGTTATTTTATAGAATGTCTACAAATTTGGATTGGTCTGATGCTTCCTCATAATTAGATCAAAGTTATATATTTTTGGCAGGAATATTACAGATGTCCCGTTAAACTTCTCAGTACATTTTATCAGAGGTTATATGATAAGTCTTATTACTGCTGATGCTAACTTTGGAAAGTGGTGCCTGTCACATTTCTCCACTGCAAGGAGACGAGTTTTCATTATGGGAGGTAGGGAGGGGGAGAAAGAGACAGAAACATCAATAATGAGAGAGAACCATTTATCAGGTGCCTCCTGCATGCCCCACACTGGGGATCGAGCAGCATATGCCCTGACCGGAAATCAAACCATGACCTTCTGGTTCATAGGTCGATGCTCAACCACTGAGCCATACTGGCTGGGCCTATTTTTTATTTTGAATTAAAATATTTTATAGAGAGATACTTTGAGCTATGCAAACATACTATTTCTCATTATATTCTCACCCTTTAATTTTGGCATCCATTGGTAGATTTACCTGCAAAAGGTATTACTGTGGAGTTCCATCCTGTCAGTGGATAGAACTAAGAAATATATGTTTGTTTACCACATACCCATTAACATCCATTTATACTCATCTGTCGGTCTACATACCTATCTACTTACCTGTAAAAACCATGAGTTCATATTAATGCCTCCAGTTCTAATCTAAAGCACAGAGTGCATTTTCTTACTTGTATCTTCTGTTTTGACAGTAAGAATTTGGCTCCCATTAACTTCGTTATCCCAAACATTTTTCGTTCTCATTCGTTCCTGGTGTGTGTGTTTGTGTGGTCGCGGTGGTGGTGGTAATAGTAGTGTGAGAATTTATAAACTATACACTTGTGAGAAACAAATTTCCTAACCAGAATGCAGCATTTCTTGGGCAGTTCTTTTTGTCATTAGCCTCACATTAAACAGTGAAAAAGTTTTTCAAAGTCATTTAGTTTTTATCTTCCCTACTACCTTAAGTTGGTTGCATTTTTCATGGGTAACACATTTAGGTTTATTTGTGTTCCATTTTAGATTATCCTGCCCTGTGGTTGATTTCAATTATTTAATTGCCTTTTACTATTTGGATTATTATTATGGTTCTAGGAGTCGCTTACAGAAGTATCACTGCAATAATATCTCCATTATCAATCACATTCTTTCTCTGCCTCTCTCTTTCAACCCTATTTCCACTAACTCCCTGTAGGCAACAAATTTCTTTTATATCTTTCCTACATTTCTTTTTTTAAAAATTAAATATTTATTGTGCAAATTATTACAGTTGTTCCCCCTTTTTTCCCCCCATAGCTCCCCTCCACCTGGTTCCCACTCCACTCTCTGCCCTTACCACTCCCTTCCCCCCGCCACTGTCCTCATCCATAGGTGTACGATTTCTGTCCAGTCTCTTCCCGCACCCCCCACACCCCTTTGCCCCCAAGAATTGTCAGTCCACTCCCTTTCTATGCCACTGATTCTATTATATTCGCCAGCTTATTCTGTTCATCAGATTTTTTATTCACTTGATTTTTAGATTCACTTGTTCATAAATGTG